TTATCAGGTAAGAAATCTGTTTTATATTTGTAATCAATGGAGCGAAACTAGATGATTGGTTCACTACAAAACGGTTCAAAAGTTTGGCGATTGTTCTCAAGCTGCAGTTAAAGTGCCAGTAGCCAATTTTATGGATGATAATCTGGCAAAATATTAACCCTTAATACGTTCAAATGTTATACAGCATGCTGATTATTGCAGCTGCATCATATAATGGTTATGCACCAGCAGTGCAACTGGAATAATTTCATACTTTGTAAACGGTTAAATTGGCAATGAGCAGATTACATTTAGATATAGTGTAATGTTCTCGTTTATATGTTTTCATCATACATTCGTGAAACTCTCTAATCGTTTGTATGGAATTCTGTAATCTTCTGTGCTTAGTTAACTACAGGAAATAAAAACTCTAAAAACTAGTGAGGTAAAAGAGGCAATTATTTCTTTGATAGAACAAAAATATGTCAATAATGTATTTCATTTCTGTCTTAGTAAGCTTCTTGTTTAATACCCAGTTTGAGGTGTTATTCACAATAACATAGAAGACGGATTTAAAGACGATCATAATGACTTAAGTAAATCACTCAAACAGCAGGCTCCAGTTGCCTATAGTCTATTGAATTACAGTTAACGTAATAAATGACATAATGTATTTATGTTCATTAACTTAGGACTGTATTTAATTGAAAGTGACTGTGGGTTTTAAGTCAAGTTCATTAAACACACTCACAATAGAGATGGCCACCTCGTGAGCTTGTCTTAGCTTCAATCACTTCAATGGACACCTTTACTTCCAAATTATACACTTCATTTGACACGTGTTACATTAGGACTAAGAATAATAATTATGGATACTCTCGTTCAAGAAAGAAATTGATAGTCCAACATATTATATCTGAAGAGTTGCAGATTGTTCGTTGCAGACTGCCGAAAAATAACCATGCTTATCATTCTGGATAATGTACGATATTGGTCATTTTCTCAATATGTGAATGATCCTTGTTCTTTGTCTTAATAATTTCACGATTTTCTCTTAAAATTCTGATTGATCATAAGAGGCGGTGTGAAAATTGGCAAAAAACTAACATTGTTTCTGATGAATTTATCACTGTCTTTACATTAATTGGTGAATCACGTGCAACGTAATTGGGAAATTTATTTGGTGAACAGATTCAATCTTTCATATCAAGGACAATGCACATAATGTGGTTGAGGTTGTTTAGCAATCTCTTGTTGAAAGTCGATGCCTTCAAACTACTGGTTTGATATTGAAGAATTTTCATGTAATAACTTAAAGTGGCCTCCAAACAAACATCCATTTCAGTCTTGTTCAATTCACCCTTCCGCTGGTGCAAACTGGTGCAAACAGGAATTATTGTCTCAAGTCATTTAATATTCTAATATAATGTCCAGACGGGAAATACTAAATGATATCAGGTGACACCATCGATCATAATTTCCGCTTTCACTCCCATTTCTTTAGGATTCTAAGTTGACTTAATTAATCCAACCATTCCAAGATAATTTAATAGTCTTAATGAACGAAATAAAGTCAGTTGACTTTTGAAATATTAATTGAAGACCAGTGACTAACGCTGAAGATATTGATATGGTTATAGGATTACAATCTCTATGAATATCATTTCAATACAGGCTTTGGTTATTTCTAATCTTCTTTGATGCATAGTCCATTCAGATCACAATTATGAAGACTTGCTAGGAAATGTTCAGGATGCGAAAATATTATCTTTAAAGTTAAGAAACAGGGTTGTCAACAAAAAAACAGCTGGGTGACCGTCAACTGGATCGTGTGATCGAAACAGTTTTTTTTTAGTGCATGTTCCGTGCCGTTTTTTTTTTACTCGTTGCCTCATGCCTCGTTTTCGAGCATTTCGAAATGCGACAGAGTGTCCTCTTAAATCGTAGCACCTTGAAGATTAAATAGGCAAAATTTGTAGACGAAGTCAACATCTGCGTGCTTTTGACCTTTAGAACAAACACTTTCAGATGTAACGTCAGAAAATAGTCATGGTAAACAAAAACGTCATATTTTGCCAACTATTTTAATTCTTTCGAAATCTGTGAAATTTGAAATTATCAACATTTCCCCTGTTTTGTAAGTCTTCGCCATGTACTTATCCACACTTGTTGTTCAGATTAGACAGAGAACCGAGATCGTATATGTACAATAGGTTACTATATATTCCGAGCGTTGGAAGCGATATATGTCTTATACGGCACCAGGGTTCTCCTTTTTAAATGAAGAGATCACATTAATCACTCCAACAGCTAACCCAGGGTAATATTTCATCTCGACATGTTGATGAACTCTACTATCAGATAAGGAATCGTCAATATGCAACACAATCTGCTGTGGATTGTACTTAATCTTGTACAGTTGGTTATAGTCTTACAATTGCTTCATTTGTCACATTTGGATTGAATTACAAGGCGTAGTGTTAAAGACATGATAAGGACAACAATAAGTGACTTTAGTGTTGTAATACAGTATTGTCCAGGATAAATGGAAAATGTGACTTATTGAGTTTTAATGATTGGAGACTATTTGTTGTTAAATCCCACTAGATTATAGTAATACCAGAAACACGCTATTACTACATTGTCATTATAGTTACCAAAATATATGGTCATTATTGTTACACTACAGTGACACCAAACGAGACGGTATTATTTGCCGATGACTTTGTCCTCATTGCTGATGGTATTGGAATGTAATGTACATCGATTTTTGGTTTATGCCTAAAACAACTGGCTTTTCAGACTACTGTGTTAGAGTACAGCTCTTATATGTTTTCTTATGATCTTTGCCATCAAGGGAAAGACGTCCCATGAAATGATTTTAATTGGTAATAGATTTCAACAACGTTCTAAGTTAGGCAAGATTCGCTTACTTTAATTGTACAAGATTCTCGACGTTTTCAAAGAATTAAGACCTATACCCACCACGGCATTTAACGCCGCGTTACAGCTGCAAGGCACATGAAGCGCGTATGCCCATGATGGGGCATTTCACCAGCCCGAAACGCCAAGCAATAACGTCACCTAGTGACATGGGTACAGAAAACCTTCTCTGGGGTTATTGGCGTTGATGAACTACATCGCGGTGTTGTAACTAAACTACCACAGCGATTGAAGGCCGTAATAATATATTCGATATTATTACGTTCATTCTCAACCCCAGACCTCCCGGAAATAACAACTGTGGAATATTGTCTAGAAATTTCAAAAACATCTTCAAATTACTTCCGATTTGTGCGTGTCTGGCTCTTGTCTTATTATTAAAACACGCAATTTTTTTCATGCAAAATCTACTGTATATTTAAGAAACTTTAAAACATCATGTTGGCGACGTTTCGATGAAAAAGTGTTCATTAAAACGTGGTACAAGAAGTTTTCGACCCTTTTGGGCGAAGTTGGTATGCTTATATTGATTGATATGGAACATGCTATATTATTCTAAACCTTGTTAAATTTAAAAGTCCAAATCTAGACTTTTCACCCAAACTTGGTAATATCTCATAAATGACCAATATGAATATTATGAATTCAACAAACTGCTGTATTGGGTACATGTTCCTGTGTCTAACAAGCTAATTTTATTTTCGTTACTTTGACGCCGATTTCGCACAGGTTGTCAAAAACGTCTGATGCAATTTAAGAATTAAACTTTTTTTGTCGTGTTGATGTACTTATACTGTAATATATCTATTTTTTAGAGCCCTGCTTCCCAGCCTTAAAGTCTCTTATGAAAGCATTTTATGCCACTTATCGTATCAATTTAGACAATTTTTCTTCGACCGACATGCTATTGTCCGATAAAACAATTTTATTCAATAAATGACATGCTTACTGCACGCAAAATGATCGTAGAATACAAATTATGGTGTATATTTGATTATTGTGAAGTATAGTTAGCTCCTCTGTCGACTAAATACAATACTTATAAAAATTAAGATAATTATAATGAAAAACAAGAGAACTCAGATGAAAATGACAAATATCAAAGAAAACAGACTCACGAGTTTTATAAATTACACTGTCTCTAATGGTTTAGTTTTATGGCGATTTTATGCTGGTGTTTGCTTCTGACTTTCGAGGCGACGTTGGTCCAGATAATAGCTTTACATATAATACTGTCACTATCCTGCATGTGTAGGGGTCAGTTTTGTGGCTTTTTGCCCTGGACTTTGCTTCTGATTAGGAAAAAATGTATACCTTTGGATTTGTTAACCCGATTTCCCATGTCAGTGACACAGGATCAAAATGTAATACTGCGCAATTGTCGGGTTGGCACAAGAAAGCCAGGTCCTAAGCATACAGATGCATGTACACTCGATAGTTGTAAAGTGAGAAAGAATAGACATATGCGGGCGCCCATACTTTAAGACTTTGTTTTACAATTAGTTTGTGTATTTTCTTTCTTAAAGGTTCAGTAAAGTATTCAGATCTTAAGTGTATCTTTTATCACGAATTGTCAATAAAATACATCGATTCTTCTCAGTGAAACTATAAATAGGTCATCGGATACACCCCTTTCACCCTTTAAAAACCCTTAATAAAAAGTACATAATGAGATAATTAAAACCTGTAATAAGGTATTGTGGAGTGAAAATGATCCTATTTTCTAATACCTAACGTTCTTATTATCATCAGTTTATTTTCACCTTGTCACTTCAAAGATTTTATTTTCTTTCATCTTGAATCGATTATTGACGTTTATCCCCTTGAGCAATTAATTACCGCTAATTGAAAGGTAAAAAAAAACTACGAACCGATTGTAGTTATTATGGTTGTAATGAAGTTGACCAAAGTCTAACAAACGGTTGTAAGGCAAAGGATCGCTATTAAGAGATGAATTGGATTGACAAATAGGGTTAATTTTATCTGTATAAAGCTGTATTGTAAGCTGTATCAACATCAGAAAACGATACATTAGATGATCAATAGTGAGATAAACAAACAAGAAAGAACATTTTTTCATGGAGTTGTATACATCAATTGAAAAAGACATCATTGATAATCAAAAGACTGTAGACAATTGGACTAAATTGTATACGATATTGGAGGATACTGCAGTTATTCTTCATGGTATGTCTGGAGGCCTTAAGAATATTAAAGGGTCTAAATGACCTTGGAGGTGTCTGCGAATTCCGGAATCATCCATTCAACTGATAACACAGTACACCCACAAAGTTATAACCTCTGTAATTCCCCAGTGAAAGGTTTAAAAACTATTTGTTCTAAATATGGCAATAGAAACCAGTCAAAGCATTAATGCATGAAAAAGAAGTTTTTCACAATCCTTTACTTTAAGTCAATGGCAATTGACACCTCACCGCCAAGAGCCTTTATAATTAATTGAAAAGTTTCCGATGATAAATCTCTGAAAGCCTTGCACACAACATCCAAATTGACATCGTCTTTCTTTAATAAGAACCATCGAGGAACATTAAATTGAATAGCTCAGGGCTCATTCCTCTACATCTTTTTACATTATTTCTCAACTATTTGCCTCATTCGTCAATTTGTCTTTTGTATTGATTCTAGGTGTTTGCTCAACTTGTTTTTAAAATGATTCATGAAATTACAGCATTCTTTTACAATAACAATGTTACAGTAGTTTACATTGTAATGTTTCACGGACTTAAACGATTTAAAGTGTATTTACTCAACACAGTGATAAAGCCATCATACAGCTTCCAAATCTACTACAGTACCTAAAGGTATCACCCACTTATAACGAGATGCCTGATGTTCTAGACCCGTTTCTGTTACGTCAGTCGTTTAATTTTTGAAAGTTTACAATTCGTTTACAATTTGGTGACCAAAAAGTCACTCATTCAGGATGCGTAATAGCATTAGTGGTTGTAATACAATAGAAACAAATAATGTTTATATAGCACAAGATGCTTATGAGGAATAATTTTCTATTTCCAGATGAAAGTAGTAATAATCAGACAACTATCAAACCAATATTCTTGCCATCAGTGACCAATATAACTATTAAACTAGGAGCATTAGCTGTATTACCATGTTCTATACAGAATCTACAAGATAAACAGGTATTTATATTTATATATTTTAAGGCAGGGGTTATTATCCTCAAGGGCTTGATCTAGAGAATTTTTAGGGGTAATGAGGCCTTTTGAAGTATAGCATAAGATATTTTGACAATTATAATGTAAGACGTCCTATTTATTAGTCAGACTATATTCTACTACATGAAAATGATAAACAAACAAAAAAGAAAGAAAGAGGATGAAAACCCCTGTGTTTTATAAGGGATATACCATACGAATATACCTATTCAGAATTTTAATGTTGCCACGACATGGAAACATTAACTTAGCCAATTCGACTTAAGTCTGTGTACTCTGTAATATTATCATGATTGTGTCTCTTAAGTCATTTTACATTATTCAACGTTTCTTACAACATTAAATAATCAACCTCCTAATAAGCCTCCTAAACAGGTTTTGTCAATTATGAAAATAATTCTGCCCTGACTCTTTGTTTCCTATGTGCCTTATATCGAAGGTCGGGCTACTAGTCATATATATTGTTAATACCCCATATCTTATCTGATCTCTATCTTGTAATAAATCGAACTATTCAGGAAATAATTGCTCCCATACGCCAGACTCTTTAATGGATATAATTTGTATAAATGTTATCATTAATATCTACAATTTATTAATAATTTGTATAATTCTTTCAGGTTGCGTGGAGATATGTAGATGAAGATAAATTTTTAACAATTGGCAAGACAACTTGGTTGAAATCATCCGATATTTTGATAGAACATTTATCGCAGGCCAATAATATCAGTAATTGGGATCTGTTAATTAAAAATGCCCAGTTTAAGAATGGCGGTGTTTATGAATGCCAGATAACCTCAACAGTTGACTTAACACGCAGAGTTCAACTTAGTATATTAGGTAAGCTAAATGCCTTGGAACAGAAAGTAGATAGTTTAATAGTCATCAAGGTTTCCAAGTCTATACTACTTGAAATTGCTTTCGTACTTATCCACGCTTATTTCAATATCTTTATAATTCTGAGTCTTGAAGACCTATTTTTGATTCTATACTTTTCAGTCTTCTGTTACAAAGCCAGATTAATAGGTTAAGAGAGTAATTCCTTCTAAGGTATTGATGGGAATTTCTATTAGAAATTGATCTTTAGACAGCTGCTATTTGTTCAGCTAATAGATAACATCACATATTGCTAAATATCAACGGTAACAAAACCACCAAGAGCAACATGGCACCCAGGAGAGACACGTCTTCCACGTGAAATAAAGATGCGACTAGCAAAGTGGTTCGGAGTCATATAACTATTATAACAGTCCTCCTGGAAACTTAAATTTGATATAAACACAATAGTAATCAAACTTCTTAAATATAAACCAGAGATGTATTTCACAAACAAAATCTTATGTCTTAATTTGTCTTAAGTGTGGAAGTTTACATCAAGAAATACTATATTCACGATCAAACTCAATGCAAGATATTTTTTGTGAACAGAACCCGGAGTTCCGGAAGACATGACTCTTTCGTAAGTTCGGTTATCACCATTGTTATCCATTGGAGTAGCTTTCAATGGGAACCAGGGTTTCTATCTGATTGTCTCTTTATATTTAGATTGAAAGTTGTTAACATCAATTTTCATGTCTGCTACATTTTCTCAATGCAAGTTTTTTTCTTTAGAATTCTTGACTAGGCTTCACCCAGTTACAACCAAATTAGTTCGTATATTTCTTAAATTCTCTTCTCTACTGAGGATTATTTGATTTCCATGTCTAGTCTCACAAATAGATTGAATTTTGATAGACCGAAAGAAAATAAGATGGATAGAATATCAATTCCCAATTACTAAATTAGCGCCATGAATTTATCAGTTGAATTCAAAAGACATCGTTAATCATTGGTATCATTTTTCAGATAGTTTAAATTGGACCAATATTTCAATTCAAATTTTCATTTATCATTTCACATACGATTTCTGATATTTTCATATTTAGCCAATATAATGTTTTGATCAGTAGTCCTCTTTCAGATATAATACACGTGGAATGTGATTTAAGTTCAGATTATAAAGTTGAAAACTATAACGTTTATGAACAGTACAGCTTACTTACACTTAGGTGATTTTGGTGTTAACGATAGAATCTATAAAATGTTATTATATCTGTACTTTAAACTTCAAAAAACCATAACTAATTTTTGTTCTAGGAATGAATTTAACCTAAAATAACCCTGTACCATCTCACTTCTCTTATCATGTTGTTAATTTAATTCTCAATATGAAAATTTGTCCATAGGTGTAAAGGCATGAAAACTTGCCTACTTTCCGTAATTCCTTTCCGCAATGATCTACTCGAGCATGTAATTGTCTCACATAATTTATTGGTATATTTTGTGTTTTCAGAAACTAGCATCTCAGGTGAAAGAACAGTTGATCGAGGTGATAAAATCTATATTAAATGTAATGTGACTGGAAAACCACATATCCCAACAGATATACAATGGTATAAAGACGGTCATTCAATTACCAGTGAAGACTTTCCTAATGTGATAATAACAAAATACGTCTCGAAATTAGATAAACTAAGTACATTTATTAGTGAAATAATTATTGATAAAAGTGTATTTTCTGACACTGGGATATATACGTGTAGAAGTCTGTCTGTTGATGCAGTAAAGGAAAAATTCAGATTGCAAATAGGTAGGATAAGTTATTTATGATTTGCTTCTCGAGTTGAATTTTCAGCTTGTGATCTAGTGAATTCGAACAACCGTCACTAGCATGTAGTATCATATCAAAGCATTCGAGTCGAAGATCATTTTTTTTTAAGTTTGAGTGTAAGTTTGAGCTGCACTGCTGTGATTTCTGTGGACAGTGACAGTACATAGAATCGTTTGTTGACGATTTTGTACAGAGACACAAGTGAGTAGATAAATAACTGCAGACTGTGCAGTTTTTCTGTTATACCTTTACTCAACGTCACATATTTATTTTTCAGGTGACACAGTTCATGTTAAAAGAAGTAAGTATAATATTTCATTATATATTTTCGGGTCATAACTTAAAACTATAGCCCCTTACACCAGACCGCTATGAAGCGTTCTCAGAGCGCTCGACCGTTTACATAACACACAATTCATCCTTTCCGTTCTGATAACGGATAAGTTTGGTAATGTAAAAGGGGTTAAGGTACTTCTTTGATTTCTTAATCATAAAACATGTTTAGTAATGCATACATTTCATGGATATGTGCTTGTTCTTTCCCTGTTTTATAATATTGCTTATGTCTTATTTTCTAAGTTCCAGTGTTTGAAGATTTGAAAAAAGAACGACGGAAACATTCGACTCCACTATATAGTAAGTATATAGATTTGTTGGGTTACTAATATAAATAGTTATGATATTGTATACCACATAACTTAGACTGATCCATTGACTGCTGGTCTGCCATAGGGCATTCAGCAACATTCTGTTAAAGATTATCTCTGTAAAAAGTCCAAAAAATAAACAGCTTTTGCTGTGTTGGCTGTCTGTTACAAATAAGGCTATGCTCGTCCTTGTGGAAAAAACTGTTATTAATGTGTTTGTCGGCGGCAGTGTACTTATATAAGTCAGTAACTCATTTTCGTTTTTTTTTCAATCAAACTGAAAACAATACCATCATGAAAGTTAATTCAAGCTTAGTTATCTCGCTAACAATGAGCTTGGCAGTGATCAATTAAGAATACTTTAGCCACAAACGCAAGATATTTTTGTTCACCCTGCGAAAGATGCTTTGTCGGGTTTGATTATGAACTCATCCAGTTTTTATTTGTATGGTAACTTGTATTTCAAACTGTATGTATTCAATAGATATTGACATTTCAGAATCAGGATCCTTACAGAAAAATTCCAGCAGTAAACAATCAGTATTAGTATTACAATCAGTGACAGTGATGTTAATATGGGTATTGTGGAATAGATAACATCAATTTATTTACTTGTATGTTTGTGTATCTGTTCTCGGTAATTTACTGCTTCTATTGAAAAGTCTGATACTTGTCTTCTATTTATATAAATCATTGTGATAAGAACCTATAGAGAGAAACAATATTAACATTTAAGTGGTTGCTCGTAGTTGATAATCATGTTTTAAGAAGTTTCGTCAGGATGTGGAATATTTAACACACTTTTTACATAAACTAGGTAAGTAACACTAGTAAGTTTTTATATATGAAGGATTGCTTTTGCTACACGATATTGAATAGTTTTAAATGTGACTGGCCACAAAGAATATTAATCATAACCATTAATGGTAAAAGTTAACACAATTTTCAGCACAAACTGCCCAAAAACTCTAAAACCCGTTCAATGGATTACAGTGTGACTCTCCAGTCGAAAACGTTCATTCGATGGGACATCAGCTGTCTGGAAATGAAGGGCAATATGGGAAAATAAATAAAATACCTCTTGACGAAATCCATAAAACACTTTTGTGTGGGGGCAACACTTACCATTTTTTTTCAATTATAGATGTTCTAACTTCCATTCTTTCTACTTTCAGCTGACCAAACTTCACTAATGGACCGATTTTATTCCAAGGAAAAGTGCAATAAATATTGATACTCGGATATAGATATCGGATGAGTTTACAAGACAGTATACATTAGATTCTTGCTGAAAGACATTTTTAAATGAATGGTGCTGACGGAGATATCGTATATCTGTGTTCTGAACATAGAGTGTTACTCATAATATTTGTTAAGTTTTAATAAAGAAATTTTAATGTAACCTACAATGTTTTTCATATATATCGCTACCACAGGATTGGAAATCATCTATACCCAATTCAAACTATTAAAGATAAAAATTTGGGGTCAAAACCCGAACTTACCTTCACATTTCAATACCTACTGTACCAGTACAATCCGAGAAATTTAAGTTTGTTAAACAACTGAAATTTTGAAAATGCAAGGGAATGATGGAGAAAAAAGAAAACGAGTGATATCGTAGTGCAAGCCAAGGGGTTTGTTGCATCTTGAATATCCAAAAGGTCAACCATTCGAATAGGGTAATACAATTCTCCAGTATTGTTAGTGAAAGTTAATTTCCCCTTGACAAGACTGTTATTATACTAACCCGATAGTTATCATGTTAAATATGAAATAAATGTTCTAGTTTAATACCAGGTCAAACCTCTTCATTTAAAATCAATATCCGAGTTTTTCTTTAAATATTCTACTTAACATTCCATAATATACAAAGAAAAGCAACATTCTACTTCCCTTTAATGTTAAGTATTGTACATTGTTCATCATCAGATGTAAATGACAGTTTCAGCTTGCTTCAAATAAGAAGACTTTATGTTCATTCTACACAAAACACTCTTTCATGCTCTACATCATTTAACTATGACTTTCTACAGTTTCTTTTTATTACATTATCATTCTACAGCCGACTTTTCTTATTTGACATTATCATGACTATATTTTCATTCTACAACACTCGACAAAATCTCAACTATATTTCGTTTACTGAAGACTTTAAACATTTGACATTATTATAACTATATTTTCATTCTACAACTTACTTTCAGCACTTGACAGCGTGACTATATTTGTTAATTGTTTCAACGATTTAGATATTTTTGCATATCAGAGTTATCTAAAGGGGTCAATTCACCGAGTACGATCTTGAAAAATCGCACGCAACTGTGCGCGACTATGATCTTTGACCGATCTAGCTACGTACGACTGCAATGTATCCTCGATCAATACGATTTAGACAGATTCTCACCTAAGCTATGCGCATATTCTCTGTCGCCAGGATTTGTGTGTGACCCAATGCGATCTTATAGAAAGGTCCGGCGATCGGTGGCTGGTGATTGTCAGCGCAATCAGTTCTCGGTCAAGAAGACTGAGCATAGCTTATCCCCGTTCTAGTCTCGATTGTCTACCCACCAATGTGTCTCTGTACGACTTTATGGTCGAAAAAAATCGAGATAGATCTCTTTGTTGGGGAGACCATTCCTCGACCACGTGCAACAACGGAAGACCAAGGCGTGACCAACTCTCGGTTAATCGTCGACTGTGTACGACGACCAAGCCCGCTCTGAGATTGTAGCTCGGTATTCCGGGACGATTTCTATAATATTTATCAAAATTAGGTCTCGAATAAACACTCTTAGTGGCGGTGACTAGTACAAAAATTAGTGGAAAATACACAGTACATTAGTACAATGATGTTTTATACGCCAGATAATTTAAACTGGAAATGTATTCACAATAGTAAATATATATATAAATATGATCAAAGCATACCATCCCCTGTGCCAACACTATATTAGTCCTATATTTACACATTCTGACAACATAACTACCACCTAATGTTTAGCCATCAATTATAAAGGATCAGAGGTAAAATATTAAACAATAATAAAAAGTAAAGTTTGGTTAAGAAATAAAAGACATAATAGTTTGAGAATGGCAAATAAATTCCCACCCGTTATTTTTATTGCCCCGCTCCATTATCTTTTTTTTATCCATTATTGAAACGTTATGAATGCTTTAATTTAGTTTAGTAATATATGACCAATATGTACACACGTTTAGTAAAACCCACGGGTATTAAAATATTAAGTACTGTCAATAAAAAAAAGAAAGAAACTAAAGAAGGAAAGAATAATGAAAAGGATTTCACGAAGTGCTCTCTCGAGGATACGGAAGGTCCTCGAGATTCCGGTCTGAATTGACTTTGAGTGGTAGTTTTAATTGAGTCGAAGAATAAAGACGCTGGTTGTCATATCTTTAAATAGTATTCAATCAATAAAGAAAGACTGGAACAGAAGGATTCGAGTTGATTAAGAATTCCTTTACAACCATTGTCTTTTGTAAACTATATCAACTGTGAGTGTTTTCAACTAGGAGATAGTGTTCACAATCTTCGATATAACCAAATATTGGCCTTGAAGTTAATTATCTACGATGCACACCAATATTGCATCGATAGCTTTTCGTTTACTTAAGCGAACGTCGATTTAAAGCTCTGCCAAAATACCTTGTATTAAAGTAAAATATAAGCTTTTTTACTGAGGTCATCGCATGATGTATATTGACCACAAAATCCTCATTAGGACAGCTAAATTTCATGAATAGAGATCACTCTAAATTTCAGCGAACTGGCTGCATAACGAAAGAATTCGACAACATGCTAGACTAGAGGCTTGATGATCAGAGCGTTTCTATAAATGAGTTACGGATCCAAAAGACAAATATAAAAAATAAACCGGCAAATTTCTTGTGTTGAAGACTATGAAGTATCTCATTAATAATATACAATATCTATCTTCGAGAGTGTGTCAGATACCAACCAATACTGCACCGTCCAATTATACATTATAATACTTGAGGCCTTATCTAGGATGATTATATCCCATCATGTTGAGCTATAGAGATAGGAGGGCTGATAAAATTAATGAAATCACCCTTGGGACGGTGATTAGAAATGTTATTCCAACTTTTTGTCTACACTTTGTTTAATGAAAATTGGTCTAAGAGGGATTTACATCAACCACAAGTACTTGGAGAAATAGACAATGTTTCTATATTGAAACTAAATTTTTTTTTGGTACCCATAACATTAATATTTAATTTTGTATTATATCAAAGAACATTTCCTTTATGAGAAGATACAGAATAGGGTTATACAGTAACGAATTCACAATTTAATAGAAACTAAACCTCAACACTAGCCTTACAACTAAGAATAAGAAAAGGGAATTAAAAGTGATATTGAGTGCCAACATATATTATTGGCTATATGAGGTTAATTACACGTACTTCTTTCAAAGTCTTTTCATATTGAGATACAACAATTATTGTCTGGATTGTATTCATTCACGTGATTATTGTTATCCAGGAAAAGGCGGCACTAATGAAGAAAATAAACATCTCGACAGATGTCCCGGAAATCAGATAGCACCCAACACACGCGACACACTGTTGTTAACGCCCAATAGTGTTATTCTTAATTACAATAAGATATTCATTTGATTTGACTTGCTTTATTAACTCCAAGGGATACTTGACGAGACTGTTTGATTGAAGTAAATTTGAAACAAGAGCTTACCAAAGGCAATTCGATCCTTTGACGGAAGTATTGGGTAGCTGGAGGGAATAAGTTTAAGAATTCCATGTATTTTATTGTCTGTGTGTCAATTTCATAACATTTGCTAACAGAGACGTCCGTAACATGTGCCATGGATTCTGTTACTTTTCACTTAAGAAGATTCGATTTCTTAAAAGTTTAACAAATTACAACGATACGACAATCGTATAGAAGAAGAAATTAGATCATTAGAACATACATGTACATGCATTTTTGGTGAAATAAACTCCATGTTTTCCAAAACGGGTGAATAATGGAAGCTTATACGGTTATATGACGTTTGGGGTACCTCAGATCTGAAGCAAATACATGCAGCAATGCAATGCCACCGTCCTGTTCGTGGACCCATCTGGAGAGATCATCACCGACAGGTCTGACTGCAATGGGATAGTCAGCATCAGAATTGGCGTCAACGGCAATTGAGAAGAATCATCTTCACCGATGAAAGTCGTTACTGTGTTTCCACGGCGGATGGGAGAGTCAGGGTCTGGTGAATGAGGGGCGAACGTTATGCTGATGTTTGTGTCATAGAACGGGACTCGTGGGTCGGTCCAAGCATCATGGTTTGGGGTGGAATTGGTCTGAATCACAGCTCTCCGCTACATTGACTAAGTCCTCAGACCCCACATCTTGACTTTTGCCCGTCACCGAAACCACACCTTACAGCAGGACAACGCCCGACCCTACACTGCCAGAGTCACCAGGGACTTCCTCCAGCAGCACAACATCTGCTCTAAGTCCTGATTTGAATCCAATTCAACACTTGTGGGATGAGATCCAACGCCGACTCAATGAAGTGCGCCCAATGCCGACAACTACA